GCACACAACATGTTATCCCTTCTATTATCATGGAATATATGGTTTTCGGTAGATTAAAATCATTTATTCTTTATTCCTGATTACTTATTTCTTCTATTATATGCAATAGAATGGGTATAAAGAGAGTGGCGGTAATGCATATGCTTAATGCTGATTGGGTCTGCTATTAAGTATCCTTACTGATAGTTAGAAAAAAGACAACATTAAAGAAAAAAAAAGATTAAAATGAAGAATTTCCCATCCTTTGAATGAAGAATTTATGTCCCAGATACACAAAATGGCGACTTCCGACTAATTGGCGTCACTCTTTATACTCATTTTACATCCCTATAAGCGCATAATATTATTTAATATTAATTAATATTTTAAGCATATTCTTAGAATATTAAACATTTCAAAAATATTTTACCAAAACTATAATATTAAATAATATCATTGAAATATTATTGGATAGTTATATGTTCACTCCTGATAATGTTATATTATTATTAAAAGTAATATTATTTAATGTTACTGTAATACTGTAATATTTAAACATAATTAAACATAATTAAAAAGTATTATAATAGCATTTACTTTAATTTATAAAACTGTTACATCTGTTCAGAATAAATATACGTTTAAACTGAAAATGATTTTGGCAGTTGTAATACTGGATATGTAAAATTACATCAAAACATTTTTTTTTAAGCATAAGATGTAGCGCAGACTAATAAAAATTTTTCGTTACTAGATTGTGAATTCAAATTGCACTAAATTAAAAATAGTTAATATTTATAAATATTTTAATAATAATGTCGGAGATATTAAGGATATAATACCAAGGATATTATGTAAATGAACATATAATCTCTATAGAATACTCTCGTAATATTAAAAATTATTATATAATATTTTCAAAATATAATAATAATAATTTATTTTAATTTTTTTAAATAATATCTATATCACATTCTAGGAATATTTTGCGTTTATAGGGATATAATCCTTCCACCATGACTACTGACTAAAGATTTATTCGCGTCGCATGTTCTAAATTAACTCAGAGAGCACTTGGATCACAGATAAGATGGCAGTTGGAGCAGTTGCATTCATGTACTCCAATGTTTAATGACACGAACAGATTTAAGGCAAGTGAGCATATTATCTAACCCTAATCCGTGAGACTACTCGAACAGGTCGGATATGTGCCTCGTTTCGTTTTGGGTATTTTGTGTTACCTCAATTATTTGAAAAACATTTTTATACAAAATAAATGCGTTTTTAATAAATATAAAAATTATAAATTAAAATGTCAAGATTTTTTTAAAAAACGAGCAAATGTTTGCAATTAATTATAATAATAAAATTCATCTTTTATTACATTCGTATAATGCTATAAATTTCAAACGTTTCGACTTACAAGGTCTTTATCAGTGATAATAAAGAAAATGTATTTATGTAACTCCATCCAATGTCAACGAACTAATATATAATACATAATAAAAATTATCGCTTTAGACTAATCTTATTTAATTATTCCTGTTAAGATATTACGAATCGAAATAAGTATCAAGTCAGAAGTTTGAAAGTTTATAATTGTAAAATTATGTTTAACTGATTCTTCATTGTTATCGAGAATCAATTCAGTCAACAATTGAAATTTATAGCGTTATATGAATGTAATAAAAGATGAATTTTATTAGTCAACTACATTTGCTCGTTTTTTTAAAAAGCATTGACATTTTAATTTATTGCATTACATGAACCTACTTTTCTATATAAAAGTTTATTATATTTTTATATTTATATCAAAAACGCATTTAATAAATGTGTTTTTATACAAAATGAATCTAAAATACTTTTTTTAATACAGAACATTTTCAACCATTACGTATGCGTGCGTAACATGCCCCAATTGTACCACTTTCTGAGGCAAATGGAGCATACTCTTAATTGATCCATGGAGTATGCTCTAACGCGATGTGAACATCTAATCGCCATATTGATTCCGATGACGCGAATGTATTGGACATGCGAACAAATCTAAGAACTAAACCTATGACACAAATAGCATTGATAATGTGCTCTCTGAAACGCAATTTATATATCAAAGTAGCATAGATCCTCTATTTTTTACTTATTAATTGTACCCTATATCAATAAGGGACTCCGCACAATAAAAGGAACAGGGAAGAGAGAATAAAAATTTCAATTTCAGAAACTGTATATTCCACAATATATGATTTTTAATAGGTTGAAATTCTTATTCTCTATTCTCTGCGGAGCCCCTTATACTAAGTGCTTATTGAACTGAGTCACAAATGGCGATCGAAATAACCAATAGGAAGCCATTTCAACTCAGAGGTTCGACTCTGTATCTTCAAACAAGGTGAAAATTACAAAAGCGAGCAAATTTATTTGTTAAGTGTTGACCAATGAAATAATTAGTATTCTGATAAATTCAAGATACAGAATCGATTCCCAGATCGAAGGAATGTGCTACTTTGATATATAGAGCTTTACTGATTAGAGCTTCTAAATATTCGGATATCTAGATATTCGGATATCTAGATATTCGAGAACTCAAAACCATATTATTCAAATAATCCGGATATCCGAATTATTCGGATCCGCGAATCTGAATTTGGATCCGGATCTAAATTCAGATTCGGGTCTGAATTTGACTTCGAATTTAAATCCATGTCCAGAAAGAAAGAAAATATCGATGTATTTAATGAATTTTAACATAGTTACTTTTTAAATAAAAATTGAATTTTGATTCACATATGTTGAAGAAAAATAAAATTAAAAAATATAAATATATAAATTCACAGAATTATACAATATTATATACAAGCACTTAAAATTCAGATAGACGGTTTAAGGCATTTGTTTTTATAGGTTATGTTTCTCATATATACGTTCTATGAGATTTTTAATATTGTTTATAAATATAAATATTTAGAACAGACTCTCAATCTTAAAATAGTAATAACAAAGATGTACAAGGCTAATAAGAGAAATATTTGTATTTCACTTTTACAAAATAAGTGTATAATATAATGACTTTAATATGCATTCAGTCCGCACTAATGCATCCGAATTCGCTATAAGTTTGCTACGAATCCGGAACCGAATTTGAAAACTGGATCTGGATTTGACTTTTATTATTTAGTTCGAGATTTGGATATCTTAGGGTGTGTTCCGTTTTTTGCATGAAGCGCATGAGTATTTAGTGCATGGCATAGAGTGCAGGTTCGTTTCGTTTCTCCAATACACTCCATGCGGTTTTAGTAATAGAACGGATTCGCAGTGAATTCATACAGTGAACATGGATGATAATTTAAAATTAACTGAATTACAAATGTATTCAATAATTACTGTTACATCTTTTTTTTTGACAAAAGAACAGATTTATATTTTTCGAGCAGCATTTACAATCTTATTCTTCAGAAAAATAAAACGTTTTATTGTAAATGTCCAAAAAGGATGTTTAATATCTATTTCTAAAATATTAGAAATAGATATTAACAAAAATTTTACAGATTATTTTTACATATATTCAGACATTTATAACAAAATCCGAAATCGATTCACTGTGAAGTAACTTGAAATTATAAGAGTTTAAAATATAAAGATTTTAAGGTTAGATTTGAAATATTGTTACTGTCAAAATTTTTCATTTTTTTCAAAAATAATTAACAATAGAAATTCAAAAATACATTTCTGCATTTTAGTTATGAATAAATGATAAGATTCTGTATACAATCTTTATTATTCAAATTATATGAAAACAGTACATATTCGTCAAAATCAAATTTCAGAAACTTTTTGCTACAATTACATACCAAACCTCCTTAAAGTCCGTTATTTTTACTTTCCTCTAGCTATTTTGTAAGAATATGACTAATGTAAACTTAACCTCTATCATAATCTACTATTTTATATTCAGGAATTTAACGATATGAAAAATAGCGGTAATACATCAATATATTAATTTTTCAGTATTATATAAATCAGAGTATTTTATAAATCAGATTAAATATCGATATTTTATAGTGGTATACGCAAAACCGAGAGCCAAATACAAGTATTGGACGTTAAATGTATTCATAAAATTTTCATAATATCAGTATACTATCTTGATCAAAAAGTTCCCGGAATTCATTCAGAAAACTTAAAATACAAGTTTTATTCATCAAAAGTGATATTGTCCTCTACAAAGTACTCCCCATCGACTGCAACGCACTTGATTGCCAGCGCTTGATCCAGCTCTCGAAACATTTCTGGAACTCTATTGTCGGTATAGCCATCAGAGCCGTCTTCGATTTTTCCATTACCTCTTTTCGGCTGTTAAAACGCGTTCCCCGTAATGGTTTTTTCATGCCACTCATAAACGGCTGTTTTCTTTAGAGTATCACTGCCGAAACAGTTTTCCATTTCCAAGGTTTTCACACCATTGAATCCATTTTTAACGCAAAATTTAATACAAACTCGTTGTTGCAAATTCAACTCCATTTTTAAAACTGTAAAAAGTCGAAAATACGTGCAGAAGTAGATATACTTAAGGCGTAACTTTTACAAATGTCAAGCTATGGTGATAAAATTTGGTGGGAATGTCAATAATAGATGTGGCAACCTAACCAAAAAACAGAACTCAAATCAGCTGACTCAGAGCATCATCTGGTGGTAATTCCGGGAACTTTTTGATCAAGATGGTATGCATAATTTTTCGGTAATACCAGAGTATTATACTGTATATTATATAATATATGTATATGTGAAATATTAAATTTAAAAATTTTTTGAGTATTTTGAGGTAATCTTTGGATCTTCACTTTACTTATGTATCTTTAACCCTTGCGTGATTTTGAGTATACTCGCTCCAGCCGAACCACCCATGATTTCAGTTTCGCGCTAAAATATATTGATTGCATAAGCTGCATGAACTGCCTCAGCTCGAGAAATGAAATACTTCATGCGATCTCATGCATCGGAAGGGGCGAGGTCATGCAATTGGCAGTAGATTGAATCATGCATGCAGAGAAACGTACGTTGAATGTGCATGAAGAGAAACGAAACGAACTTCTATCTTCTATGCGCATTATGTAAGAAATGGAACGCATCCTGAAAATTCGAATCTCCGGATAACTCGAATTTGAAGTATCACATTTATTCGTAATTCGGATATCCGGATAGCTTTAAATCCGAATCAATCTTGAAGCCCTATTATTGACTACTTTCACAAACGCGCTCATTGATCTTTGAGAGTATTGCTGTGACAGATTTCCTAACCTGAATAGTTGTCAACTTTAACCTGAATTAATATCTCGATTCGTGGGACAGAGCGCTGTTTTTTTTCTGTTAAATTTGTTCATTTTATGCAAAAAGCGTCGAATAAGTTTAATTTCATTGACTTTTATATAAAAGCTCGTCTCCTTCATAATTATCTGAACTTCATATGGAGTCTGCTGATTTGTTAACGAAATCGGCCGATAAACGGTGATTATTGTTAAACGAATTTTCTATATATTTTTTTAATATCAATTTTACAATGTTTCTTCTTGTTAAGGAACATTCATGTCAAGGAGAATGTTTGTGAGATCTTGGAATTGGCTGGGATTAAAGAGTCTGATTTAAATATCATGACACAATCTCTATATTCCATGCAAGATCATCAAGCCAATGATATGATATTGTTGGAAGTAGACGAGGAGATATTAAAGGGATTAAACCAGGGAGATGCGTATGTCTTTTTCAAATTTTTGTGATTTTTATTTTATAAAATAGATCCTTGAAAGTTGAGATCCTCTTTGAACATTAATATTGCAATTTTTATTCTGTAAAGTAATTATAAATAATATAATTTTGTAACTGTAGAATATCATTTCGTGGTAATAAACATGACAATGCTATGCTATGTACACAAATTTGTACCTATGAGGTCAGAGAGGCAGAGATATCCAATTCGTGGTTGTTGGTACCAAACCTAAAGCTGGGTAAGACAACAGATATCGAAGAAGTTACAGAAAGAACTATAGAAAGACATAATATAAAGAAGATATTTAACTTATACTACGAGGTACTTGTAGTATTCTATAATATTTGAATGATGTGTAAAATGAATTGCAAAAAAAAATTAATAGTCTTTCGTGTTCAAGGTGAAAGAAACCAAACCTGATCTGATATATTTATCAAGTCTGCTTAAATCTTCTTCTTTCAATGGATTGGAATACGAATCTACTATAGATCGAAATGTATTATACAGTTGGGAAAGATTACAAAATGAGTTACAAGCTAGTGATCAAGAGTTAAAACAGGCCCTATCAGATTTCTTAATAGTTGAAATAGATGGTTCGTAATAAAAATCTCTTTATTATATTAGACCATATTCATTATAAATGATATCATCTAATTTAAATATCTTTTTATGTTAAGGTTATTTGCGTCTCATATCATTTGACATAGAAGCAAGAAGCTTAGATCTGATATTGGATTATTTTGAAAGACAGTCTTGGGAACTCGATGAAGTAGATAAAGAGAATATTTATGAATTTTTAAAGGAACTTATTTATGAACCAGTATTTGA